CCCGGGCAGCGGCGCGGAGCGGCCGGGCGTGGAGCTGGCAGCACACCCTGCCCTGCCCTGCCCTGGCCGGCAGGGTCCGCCCCCGGGCGCACTCGGACCGAGGGGAGACAGCGAGCGACGCGCTACTGCTGCAACCCTCAGGGTCTTTATTAGGATTTCCACAGAGCTCAGCAGAGTTTTTTGAGGAGCAAAGAAAGTGCTTTACTTGCATCCCGAGTGCTTACCCCGTCCCGCACGGAGCAGCAGGCACTGTAAAAGCGGGACAGTTATCCCGAACGCTTCGCACGCCATCATTTCCCGCTGGTGCCAAAGGAGAGAGATGTTGTCACTGTCCCGTGCCTCTTCCATCACCTCATCCTTATTATCACAGCCTGTTTACTTTACCCATTTTTCTTTTTTCTTGGAGCCAGCCCTGAAACCCCTTACTCAGGAAAACCTCTCATGGATTTTGGATGATGTTTTCACCGGGTAATGTCTGCACAATGCAGATCCCGTTTGGTTCAGCACTGTAATGAGCCTGTTTTCTCGGTACAGAATGCAGTAGCGTACTCACAGTGTTGGAAACTTGGCTTTCTGCAGCTGCATGTCCTCCATCCTCATTCACAGCTGCCTCCCAGAGCAGCAGGGATGTGCACTGAGGATGGTCATTACCATAACTGGTTTCTTTCATAACAGCTGTGACTTAGATAGGGCTATAACTGATTAGTTTTTGTCTCTCACAGGATTCCTAAATTTTTTTCTTCAGGTTTATTCCAAAAAGACATATACAGTAGATTACTCCTTTCTGGCAATTCATAAGGCACTGAATCGTGGAATTGTGTCTTGTATTTAGGATTTTCCAAGACTATTACTATACTTCGTTATTGGACATACCCAATAAATAATTTTGTGTTAACTCTGGTATCAGAAGCCAAGTGGAGTATTACGGCTCAGCATAGATGGGTTCAGCATATATGTCTCCTTGTATGCAGTCGCATGGCTGTAACCCATATTTCCATGGATGAGCACATGCATTCATTCACACACACCTTTTTTCTTTCCATTTTGTTTTCTGCTGCATAAACCACTAACACTGTATTTAACATTGTGTTAAAGGTTGTTTCCTGAAAGAACCAATACATGTGATTTTAGGATCAGCAACTGGCATTCTAGCTCACAGATTATTTTTTTTTTTCACATCATGGTATCATTTACTACCTCCTTATCAATACAAACCTTTAGTTAGAAGCTATTACTGGACTCTTCATTTCTACATTTTCTAAATGAAGAGCGATAGCAGCATGAGAATCGGGTGAGTCAAGTTCTTACACATTGAGCTCTCCAATCTAAAATAGGCTTTTGGACCCCCAAGGTAGTGTGGTAGTCAGAAGAGGAGAGTTATAAAGTGCCTGTGATTACTGTGTAAGCTCATATCAACAGCTGAAAGCTCAACAGAGATAAGTACAGAAAAAAAGATAATTAAAAGCAGCAAAGATCTGAACCGCAAGCTGTTTTAACAATTTTAAGTAGTCTCATTTCCTAAAAGAGTAAAAAGTCAGTCTATAAGTTTATGTCCTTTTTTTCCCACTTCAAACTTTAAAAATCAGACAGAAGGCCTCAAAAGCAGTGTGAGTACCCTTCATATTTTGAGTTCTTTTAAAAATAGATCTGGAGCTCATTGTATTTGTCATTGGTTTCTTCCAGGTAAGTTCATTATACTGAGTTCTGTTCGTAACTATTCTTTGCCATTGTAACAGCTGGAAATACAGTATATTAAAACAGAAGCAGAAATTCTTAACTTATCAAGGGACTGCAGGAGCTGAGGTTTTATGAAGTTATCTGAGACTATGAAAGTTGTGATACAATCACTGGGACAAGCCCTAGGAATAGGGGAGAAAAATGGAAATGTGCCGTCATCAGCTTATGCTTTCTTGTGTGCAGGATATAGATTAGCTGGTGTAGGAAAGGGTTAACAGCCTGACCTTCAAACAGAATCTCTTGTTGACCCTACTCTGCAACACTTGGCTGATAGGTTATGCCCAAAGGGAGAGCTTGCTAGCAGGAGGGAAAAATCCAAAGAGAATACTTAGAAAAAGATTACTTCGGGAGTCTGGTGGCCTGGCAGAAAGCAAATCCTCAGACAGTACAAGACTGTAGGACTCATCCATTGAAGGTACCAGACACAGTGAAAAAAAGGACAATTGTCAAAGTCTGATTTGTCCATACAATTTCCCAAAAGGTTTATGGATATAGAAGAATCAGTAGTTAGCTATACAGTTTCATACCTAGTAATTCAGCTGTTCAGTAGGAGGGTACATGGAAGAGCTACCTAGTCACTTGTCTTAAAGGTAGAAAGTCACAGAAAGTCACGCTGTGGTATGGCACAATGAGCTTCCAGTGGTGTGGTGTTAGTGCCTCTCCTGCAGTGTGCGACACATAGGAAGTCCTTGTTGCAGGGTCCTTGCAGTCCTTACAGCCTTCAAGATACTGTCTTTCCTGCTGTCTTTCCTGTCCAAAGATTTTCAGAAACGTCTCTTTCAGTTTGTCCATACTCTTCCTTCCCCCCCCCCCCAACCCCCGGCTTCTGATTTCTTATAATCCTTAATAGCTTTGAACCATTTCTGCTGATATCTGTGGGTGATGAGTAATGCTGGTATACATTGGAACAGCAAGAGTGAAGCTCCAGCTGGAGTTTCTTGACAGTCTCAAAGGGAGAATATACCTTTGAAGCCACAGAGATTAACCAGGTAGACTAATCCCAAAACCTAAATCCTAAAACCTAAAAAATATTAGGAACAGCACATCTGCATGGGTTTCTTGCATCAGCAAGTCTCATGAACTTACCAAAATCCATCTTTGTAACATTTTACGTTTTATTTCTCTAAGTTGTTTCAAACTTACTTCTTGTAATTTAAAAAACTTTCAGCCTGAATCAATGCATTCATTCCACTGGCAACATGAGCATTTAGTTTAAATATTTTTTTTCATCAGTGACTTTGTTCTGTTGATTCATATCCTCTCTTAGTCTCTGCTTTACTTAAAAAATAAGCTGAGCTCTTCTGTTCTCAGAAAAAAAGACTTTCATTTCCCTAGATTATGGTACCTTCTCCAGCAAATGGGTGGAGGAGAGGGAACAAAACATTTTGAGGGAAAATAGGCCTCAAAGTTCCAGCAGGGCATTTCGAAACCTGTTTTGCATCCTGTGTTTGTTTTGCAGGGAGTTTCCACAATGGAGAAGAGGGAAGGTGATAATCATGCCATTGGTCAGAATGGGGGTCAGAGCATCATGCCGAGAAGAAACGCAGGAAACCTTAGCAACTTGGTAATGTTTCTGTAAAAAGGCAGCTCATATCTCACACAGAATATTGCAATGTTTTATTCAATTTTGTCCAGGAACAGTGTTCCCATCACACTGGTATATCATCAATGCTTCTAAATTCTTGTCGCAGTATTGACATGAAGAGATAAAAAGATAGAGAGCAACTCATTTAATCATAGTCCATGATAAAAAATGCACAAAGTTTGGATCAGCTAAAAACTACATAAGGTTAGTTGCTAGTTGCATTTTAACAGATGAGCAAAGCTCTGTAGAAATAGTTTGGGATTTTTAAACAGGAATATAAAATTGATCTTTGGAGGAGTCTCCATAATTGGCACATCACATTCAGTTAGTTTCCTCCATCACACAAAATAGTTCCAAATAAAAATCCACTCCAACAGCATTTGCCTGTGCAACTGCCAATGCACAGAATTAGTTCAAGCTACAACTGCCTGTTTTAATGTGGACTGTCTCACAGATTGTGAAATACTGAATTAGGCTTTGCAAACTGTCTCTACAAGAAACAGATACCTCTAGGTGAAGCTTGGTTCAGATGTGAATAAGAGTTGGTGTAATTTATTCCAACTGCTGATTCTGCAGTGCATAGACTACACTGCTTTTCTTCACAGACTAGAGAATAAAAGTTACTTAGGCTACTGCTTCATTGTTACAAAGAGAGGCTTTTATCATCAGATAAACAGGTAGTAGCTATTCAACTGAAAAACCCTAGTGAAGACCATGCCCTTTAATTTTACTCTGAGGCAGTAAGACTTGTGGTGGGAAACAGGCTACCTTGTCTCTAATTAGGATTTTACAGCAAGATAGCAGTGTACATTTTTTATCTTTCTGTTAAAACAGAACACCTGTGTATCATTGAAGATGAACACAAGACTTGCACCTACTACTTGCATTATTTACAAGTAGTACCTTGTTTGAATTGACCCCTTAATCAGCTTCAATGTGATATTTGATTCTTAAGGATAAAGCAAGATAATATTGCTGAGATAGGAAGGTCTCCTGTATCCTAGCAGATTGCTAATTTACAACTTTCAAACTACTAATATTTGCCTTCCTCAAAACAGACGGTGTCATTTTGATTTCTGGAGGCCTGGGCATCTGCCACATTAGCCATTCTAAAGCTGAGCCATTGCAGCATTAGCTCAGTTTTACTTTGTATTTCACCAGAATATTAAAAGACTTACATGTTTATTACCTAATGTTACCAGTTCTCAGATCTCTGCCCTTGGTCAGCTGCTGTATCAAGTACAATGTCCTGCTGTTAATACATTTTTCGTGTATGCAGATCATGTACTTCTTTCATGAACTATAACTATGGGACAATCTTTAAATATATTATCTCAGTGTAAAACTGTTTATAATATTATGCTAAAATTTTGTACTAGCTTAGCTCCTTGTAAAGTCTGTGATAATTCTGCCAAGGTCTTCTGTGAGACTAGATCAAGCCGTGCCTACTTGGCAGCAGAAAATTCAGCTTTTTAAACTGAAGTGACTCAGTTTCACAAGGTTTCATAAAAGTTACAAGGACACATTTGTGACAGAGAGGAAGAAGACCACAGGACTTGATGCTGGAGTTGGCAGATGTGCAGTTGGTCTAATATGCTTGATTCCAAACATTTCTGCTTACATTGTTGTTCCCACAATTAAATGTAATTAAAATAGCAGTGACTGACTCTGGCGTCTGTATTGTGCATATTATTTGGGCTACATCATTAAGTCTGTAGCTGAAATTTAACATTTGAAATCTGTAGCTCATATCATAAGAAGCTGTAATGATGCTTCACATAATGTAATCCATCTTCCTCTGCAGTGTAGTTAACTTTCTGGAATTAAAATCTATTTTGAAATCACCACAGATAATGAATGAAGAATGAGAAATATGTGCTACAAGTGTCTTGCTCAACACTGACTATGCTGTTTTAAATGTTACGTTTCCAAGCTACCTTGTTTTTATAGTGCATATGTTTTGTATATGGTTTCAGTGCAGTACAGTGTAAGAGCCATGATGGCAAATACTGTCATTACTGAAGTTTTTAATCTTCTCTTGAACTCACCTGGTATTTCATTTCTGTCCTTTCCAGAATGTGGATATACAAGTCACCAATCCACCAGAAGCAGCTGCACTTTTTAATTTACATCAAGTACACCATTTTGGTGAGTTTGAACACCCTTCAGAACAACACCGCAAGCAGGAGCTGTTCCCTAAGTGGCACTTGCCAATGAAGATAGCGTCTGTGATCTCATTATTAACATTTATTTACACGTCTCTGAGAGATGTTATATATCCTTTTATAACCAGAAAGGAAAATGTTTTCTATAAAATTCCAATCCTTGTCGTAAACAAAGTTTTACCAGTGGTTTCAATTACCCTTTTAGCACTAGTGTATTTGCCAGGAATATTAGCTGCTGTTTTCCAGCTGTACTTTGGCACCAAGTATAAAAGGTTTCCCCAGTGGCTGGATAGATGGATGTTATCAAGAAAGCAATTTGGACTTCTCAGTTTCTTCTTCGCTACAATGCACGCCTGCTATAGCCTATGCTATCCGATGAGAAGATCATACAGATACAAGCTGCTGAACTGGGCATTCCAGCAGGTATGACGGGCACTCAAACACCAACCCTTCTGTATTCAGAAAATCTTTGTTTTGGTCATTCAAGCAAATCTGGATGGAGAGAAAGCCATTTTCATTGCCTTCATTTTATTTTGAAGCAGATCTCCACAGAGCACTGTTAAGGGATGGAGCAAGACCTAGTTGTTACAGCATGTAATAGAGTTAAGAGTCATCACAGCTCTGCCAGTGTGTATTAAATGAGTAATTTTCTTCATTTGAGATTTTTTCTCTCTCTGTAAGATGCACATAATTATACCTGCCTCACAGGAACATTTAAGTCTTTGGCACACTATTCATTTATTGTGGATTAATATCCTCTGCACCAGTGAAATCTATCTACAAAACTGAGCACACACTAGTTTTAGACATCTTCTTTGCAAAGTGAATTAGCCAGCAATGAAGGAGGGCTGAGCTAAATCACAATAATCTGTATTTACCACAAACTAAATTTGTGAACGCTGATAGTTCCACCATTGGGCTGAAGCACACAAGCTCGCTAAAAGATAGAATTTTAGTTATGCTTCTGAGACATGGACAATAATTGGCTTGCAAAGCTCTCTAAGATCCTCTGTGACTACAGAGTTTCTAATATTTGCATATCACCTTGAGTGCCATGAGTATAAGGAATATTCCAAGATAAGGTATAGACCAGAAATGTACATATTAATTACCTTCAAAGTCTAATCTGCAGTTTTATTAGAAGCACAATATGCTTTTAGCAGCTTCTTCAGTGTTCTGTAAACAGTCACAGAACAGTCGAACTACCTGTTGAAAGCTCTGATATCAGCCTTACTGGTAATCTGATTTGAACGGATTACCAGAAATTTCCTTGAGATTCTAGTCCTCAAGATGAAGAAATTATCATATTTGGGGTGTATTATGCCATGGTGATCACTAGCAGCATCAAAGGGCTGTTGCAAGTCATCATAAATAGGAGAAGCTTTGACATCGGTTTATTGAAGTCACAACCTTTTTATCCATACCAGCCACTGTATGCAGTGCAGCTGAATGGACCAAGCTGTTGTTTTTAAAAAACAGAGCTAAGCAACTATCCTGGAAAGATACCATCATTAAAAATGCCTGCTGAATTAGCTCCCTAAAGTAGTACTGTTAATATATTACCTGTTGTTATAATCTCTTAGATATGGTATTTAGCCATAGATGGATTTTTTTTTGTCAAAGAATAAGATTTCTCCTGCTGTGAAGACAAGCTAACAGGCCTCAGAACTGGCCTCTCCTGGGCCAAGACACTGTTGAAGTCTAAATTCTTCTCACTTACAGCTCACCTTCCCTCTGCAGATACTAGTGGAAACTTGGCCATCAGAAGTAAATAGCAGTTGCATTCAGAGACTTTAAAACAAACAAAATACAATGTTTCTTGGCTTAATTCCTGAATATTAGGGTGAAAATAGCTGTATTTCACACAAACAGCTGTGTGCCAGTCTGTCATTTTAAATATGGTGTTCCTTTGGCAGGTAAAACAAAAGAAAGAAAATGCCTGGATTGAGCATGATGTTTGGAGAATGGAGATTTATGTGTCTCTAGGAATTCTGGGACTTGCTTTGCTGGCCTTGTTGGCAATAACATCAATCCCATCTGTCAGCCACTCTTTGACTTGGAGAGAGTTCCACTACGTTCAGGTACGCATAAAATGTCATTACTGCATGTCATTAGTCCTTGTTTGTAGGACTGTATGTTATCAGCTAAGACCATTAGGAGTTAGAAATATCAAACACAGAGGAGTTAGTGAAATAAATCTGAAAGTTTATTCCGTACTCTTTGTTAATTGCTTTGCAAGAAATGTTAATTTCATGTGTTATTTTGTCAGGAGAAAAGGCTGTCAGGTTCAAGGTATAAAGTGGGAAGAAATACACCACCACACCACTTTTTTGCTCCTCTGAGTTAGTGACCAGCCCCGGGTGTCCTTTTGGGACCTATATTTAGGTAAAAGCCCTTTGGTGCTGAAGGCATTTTAGTCACCT